CTCAGATTGCTTTAATGAGCATTCCCACCCCTCACTGCCAGTGCCAGCTGGGGCAGGGAACCCTGGATACAAACTCAGCAATCAGATTGCAGGAGCTGGGAGGTTCCTGCATGTACAGCTCCACAGCCACTTGAAAGGGGATGGTAATCCTTAGCAGAGAGAATGAACAACTGGGAGTAATGTTGGTTGTGGGGATTTTTTGGTAATGTACCTGGCTGCAGGGGAGAAGACTTGCTCACAGCTCACCAGCCTAAATTCTAACAGTTAAATGGGAAAGAGATAATCTGATTTGGGAACTTTGTTAAGCCTAAGGCCTGAGAGTTTCAGGAAGTTTTATGGTATCAGGACTGGGTTATGTGAACACCTGCCAGCAGAAAATTAAGTCTTTAAAGCTGTTCACGTGCTCGGGGAGGTGTGTGACAGCCAGGAATTACAAGTGATTCCTCAGTGTATTGCCTGCACACACAGGTTAGAATGCAAGAGCAGCATATTTCAAAGAACAAAACTCCATAAACAGGTCCTTAGCCTTTCCCCTGTTGGCCAGGAATGCTGGAAGAGTCACTGCTTCCCATGCTGCAGGCTGAGACAACTTCACCTAGAAAACATACCAGGCCCTGGAGTAACCCAACTGCAGCATTTTGGTCTTTCACATTAATTAAGCTTGTAGAAAGCAGAAGGATGTCACCTCTAGAATTCCGTAAATCACAAATTCAAAAAGCTCATGTAGTCTTGCCCCAGCTTGACCACATCAGGTTATTTGATGTACTGATGTTCCTGGAGAGTCTTGGAATGAAAAGCTGTAACCAAGGTGCATCAGGCAGAAGATAACTTGTCCTGGTTTGTTTGCTCTACACTGTACCCTGTGGTTACTGACTTTGTTTTTGAAGTAATGCAAACCCCAAACATCTTTAACTCACTTAACTAACGTAAAAAGGAAAGTCTTCTCAATAAGCTGCCTGGATTATTGTGAGCTGAAAAGAGCCAGTTAATTATCAAAGGAGTATTGCCTAGAGATGAATTGTGGTTAAGTTTCAGCTGTGCTCGTGAATTAAAATGGTGTATGTGGTCAGAAAAAAGAGCATTTGACGTTTAAAACCTTAACTGTGGAATTCTAAATTCAAGCATCATTTCATGTGTGAACTTGAAGGCTTTGTTTTCCTTTAAAAAAAGAAGATTAACATTTGGTTATTAGGCCTTTTTACATAATGTTACTTCAGGCTGACGTAGCTGATCAGCAAAAGTCCTGTGGGAATTCTGTATTCCCAGGAATTTCCAGCTGCTCAAAACGATTAGGGGGTTTTGCAAGTTGTAGTTTAAAAAACTAAACCCCCTTAATAAAACTGGAAGTAGGTACACTGTGGCTTGTACTAGGTTTAATGATGTGAGTTTAAGTGATACCTCCAGTTAAACTGGTACCATTTGCTGAGACACAAACACTTTCTCGGATTAGGTGGATTGTTGCCATTAATTTCAGTGCTGAAATGTGAAAACTGGTGCACTTTAATACAACTTTTAAAACCAAAATCCACAAATATTATGTCAGGTTTTCACATAATAGAAAAATGCTGTCTCCCACTCATATTTTTTTCATCTAGTTAGTGGAGCTGACAAGTTTTCTAAGTCAAATTTAGACTTTTCAAGTACCACAAAGTACTTCCAAAAATAAAGCTGTTTACTAGAACATATCTCCAAAAGCATTATGCTGCTTGAAGCCAAGTGCCTTCGAATGCATACCCAAGAAAGAGCGTTCCAAGACAGAAACATGGCACGTAAATTTATCTTAAATAGAAGCTGCATGAAAATTTGTTCACTTTTTCTTATAAGAGAGCTCATCCAGTACCAGTTGCTGCTTGTTTCCTGCCAATGGATGTCAGGGGTATTGCACAAGATGGGAGAGGATGATGGGAACTGAATAGAAAATGGGAAAACCAGTCTTGCTCATGACCATTTTGTTCCCTCTCAGTGGGAGGGCCAGGCCAGCACAACCACAGCTTAGGGAGCTGTGTGGTTAGTTAATATTCTCAACCCCCTTCTTGCTCACAATTGCCCAGTGCTCAGTGCAGATGCAACAGCTGCATTTTGTGAGGTCTTGCATTTACCTGTTTTGGTTTGCAATTTTTGTGGTTTTTGTTTCTTTCTTCAATATGTCAACTAAGACAAACAGGAATGATTGAAAGACTCATACACGAGTGACTGTGGCTGGATAAGGCCCAAAATTCTCCTAGTTCCCAGACTTTAGTGTAGCCACAAGACCACAGTGCTTTAGCTGAACTTCATCCTCAACTGAACTTGGCACAAAGAAGGAAAGAAGTTCCTTTTGAAATCTCTTCTAAATGTTCTAACTTGTTTTGTCCTTTGTATTCAACTAGTTCAGGAAAATAACGTTTCAGGTTTGGTTCAAGTAAATGTTATGTATTCCTAGATTTTTGATTTTGTACCTTTAAAGCTGATGGGTTGAGGTTTGTGGAAAGCAAGTAGCTGTGCAGTCTGCTGCTTTGAAGGGCACAGACATCAGTGGAAGGAAGGTATCACTGAAGATCTTCCTCCTGACTGCTAATAAAATCCATCCCATGTCTGGGCAGGATGCCTTTTCTTGCCAGGTTCTTATGGTTCAAAGTGCTGCTCTTCAGGAACTGTTAGGTATTTTGCTGTTTTTTTCTTTTTACACAGATCTTGAGTGGGAAGTGTGAAGAAAGTATAAAGTTAAATGTGCTCCTAACCTATTATTGTGGTGGGGGGAGGAAAACTACTTTAGAAGAAGTTCTCTTGAAGAGCTCCTTAGGATCCTGCATGTATAAGGTACCTCTGATCTGTCCTCTCCAATGCAAGCTGACTGACATGATGGGTTTGGAAAAAAAAATGGGTTTTAAGAACAAAATCATTATCTATTTAATTGAGATGTCATTCACGAAGCTGAGAATCCCAGAGGAATATGCTGGTAGTCCCTGTTCCCTTCTCCCGAGTGGGACACGTCGCCCAGGTGCACTGACTCTGTGAAAATATTACTTTGTATTTGTAAAGCTTTTCTTGCTCCAGAGGTAGTGTCACAGGTTTGGTCCTACTGAGATGGTGTCAGGCTCTCAGGCTGCTGTTACCTGCGAGTTCTGCCCAGAGGGTGAATGACAAGGTAGGAATACAGGAATTCTTTTCATTTGTGCATTTGCAACTCATTTGTGTAAGCCAGGTAGCTCTACTTGCTCAGTCAAGAGCTATACATACACACTGGTGCCTCAAGTGCAGGAGTGTGAACTGTCAGAAATGTTTCTGTGTGGATGCTTTAGTTCCAAATGTAAACACACAGGTGTGCTTGTCTGCTCCTGGTGCTTTGCCCTGTCCTGCACACAGCTGGTGCTGTGCTCACTGCTGCACACAGCCAGGGCAGCTCTGGGGCCTCACTGCTCTCTGTAGCTCAGGCTTGGTGCTTCTGGGTCTTGCTGGCTTGAGTGCATGTTTGGCTGTGAAAGATGACATGGACACAGCACACTCTGGGCAAGAGGAACAGTGACAGCAGCCCAGGGACACAGTTTGCTGCCACTGCTCAAGGAGGAAGAGCAGGACTCGTTGCCTTACCTCCCAGCACAGGAACAGTCTGTGCTGCTGTGCTCCAGCAGCTGAGCCACAGGGCAGCTGTTTACATATGGTACAGAAACTGAAAAGAAACAACACTATTTTAAACTGGATTTACCTAATCAAAAAGAGTTAACTTCGAGACTAGTTAAAATCCTGCATGTTAGAACACCATGGGAAGAATTACATCTACAGTGTATTTTGCACTGATATTCAAGTGGTTTTAAAAAATATAGTTCTTTATGATTGGATGTGATGTTAGCCTCCTGCTGCAAGTCTAATTTAACAGTTCACATGGGATTTGTGTTGTGTACCTTGAGCCACAATTACTTGAAGTGGTTTGATACAATTTCCAGAGGAGCATCGAGGTGAGTGCAACAGAAGTTAATGATAAGTTTGGTCTGTCACATCCAAGCTGATTAGAAAGCAAACATGAAATGATGCATTGTCCAATTTATTTTTTCCTAAGAACCTCAGCCTATGACTTTAAAAGCTATATGACCTGCCCACCCCAAACTGGAAAACACTGCCTTGGAAACATGCTGCCTGAGACCCTTACCATGGGGGGAGGCCTTTGAAAAAAAACAACACATGCTCTAGCATCAAAGGGATTATATAAAGTTAGAACAGTAAAGGAGAAGCTACACTGGATACACTGTAATCTAGAAACACAATTTTTAAATTTTTTTCCTTGAAAAAAGCTGGTGCAGAGAATACTGGTTTTATCCTGACTGGTTTAATAATGGCTAAGAATAATCACTTATTTATAATAAATTAGGTCTGCAGTATAAATGAACATATGAACCTTTCATACTAATGTTACTTTTAGAATATCTAAAATGGATTTAAACTATCTCAAGATTCATTTAATCACTTGCAATTTATATTACTTTCAGAATCTTCTATACAGCAAGTCGAACAGAAAAAAGCAAACATTTTATCAGCCTCTTTTCCCTATAACCACTTTCATATAAGACAGTTTTAAATAACTATTTTAGAGCATCTTTGTCTGCTCTCTCTCCCCCTTTTTCTAAAGGCAGCACAGCCAAAAGACAATGCAAGAACTGGCATTTGCTGACTGACTGTTTTCTTCTCCATCTGGTAAAGGCAAGGGGAAGACAGAGACTTGAGTCCCAGAATGGAAAATGTGAACTTAAGGTTTACTTTGCCAAATCTCCAGGGATTTCGTTCTTTTCCTTGGTTACAGTTGATAAAAGCCACTTTGCTCTGTCTCTGAATATCACTCTGTATTCAGTTACAAAAAGTTTTCAATTTGAGCTGTAGATAAATCTGTTTTGAAGCTTCCATTTTTGCTTCACTGAATCCAGTGCAAACCAAGGCAAGAAACTTCAGTAAAATCCAAACAGGAACTCCCATTAAGAATATCTGGAGCAGCATTTGAGTAGAATTGTATATTCCATTTTCTAGTGTCCTCATTCTGGGGAGGAAGAATCCTCATCTTCATCCTCTTCATCCTCATCATTGAAGGAGCAAGGTGTTTCACCGCGGGACTCCGAGTAGCGCGACGCTGCCGTGCTGGATTGCTGACTGCTAGGGGCAAGAAGCTGCCCAGTTGCTAAGGCCACTTCAGCATCCAAACACAACCCTGGATTCTCACTAGCAAAACAACAGAAATGGTGACATTTAGAGGATTTCTCATGAGGTTTTAAGCTTTTTCTTTGGCCTCAGCTTTTCCTTTAGTCATAGAAATGCTACCAGCAAGGAAAAATCCCAAAGTGTTACAGTAAACACAGCTATTAGTTATGAAAACTGATAAAGCATTGGAAAGTTGCACAAGAAAAGATTATTGGGTGAGTTTTTTTTATAAGCAACAAGTAGAATTGCTCAAGCTGAAGAAAGCTTAGAGAAGAATAAATCCATCACAGTCTTGTCAATACACAGAAATGTCTGCAATATGAAATGAGGCTATGAAATGCTGTGAGGAAGAACCTGTTCCAGAATAATCCCCATTTCCAGTTTTTTATGGCACAGGTAACCTCCAAGCAGCATATGGTGGTTGTGGTGCATTTTGGATTGGGGTTTGCAGCTGCTGGTGGTGGTGGGTGTTTTTGTTAGTTGTTGGTTTCTGATTTGAAATTATTATTAGACTGTGTGGACTAAACCTCTTTCACGAGAGCTTCAGCATTTGGACACCAAACATTCTTTTGCATTCTTCAGAAACATTACCAGGCTTTTGTCCATATGGAATCACCTATTTGCAGTCCATACCCAGGCAGGAATTTAAGGTTAGTCAGGAAAAAGGACTTGAAATTGATTCTATTCTTATGAAACACAGATACAAAATAGCTGGTATGTTCAAAATGCAAAGCATGTTGATTTGACCTTTCAAATATAATTATCAAGCAAGACACAATTAAAGACTTTTTCACAATCAAAATCAACTATAAAAGGAAAACATCTCAATTCCTGCATGCAAATGATATGAAATAGCAAAGTTACTTAAGTACCACAAGCACACATAACTATGCTCGAATAAAAAACTATTTTATTTACCTTGATTTAGCATCGTAAGTGTCTCCAGCTGCCTCTAAATGTGAAACTGCTTGTGCTGAACTTGAAAGTAACCCTTGGTTGATCCATGAAAATCCTGCAGACATATCTAGAAGAAAGCATAATGGTATTTATGATAGTTATTTAAATTTTTTCTTCCTTTTACTGTCCTAAACTTTGCAGTTAGGAGTCCTTAGTTTAGTCTGGAAGGTACCAGTAGCTCAGGGTGATTTTATATTGTAGATGTGTTCTCTGTAATCAAGATGAAATTACACCCCATGTATGTGGATGCACTCAAGCCTTCCACACTCTTATTTCTGTGAAGCTTTTCCCTCTGTTTGAAGAAGACTGACCCTGCCCATGACCCCAGCCAGTACTGCAATCACAGGTATGGGAAGATGAGTTCTGGAGTCCTTCAAGGAAACCCTGTGAGGTGTCTGAACAGCTCCAAGTGCCTTTGCTGCAGCTTGGTGAAGGTACAAATGAACTGTCTGCATTTGGATTGGACATACTGCAATGGAGCTGCACAGGCTCTCTGCATGTCAGCCACGTGTGTTCTGGTGGCCAAAGGCAGTTTCACCCTGGTGGTCTCATGGCTGGCTCCAGTGCAGCCTCCTAAGCCACTCTGCCACCACACAGAGCTGGGCAGCCACTGGGGACATGCACTGCCCATGGCAAAGGTGCCAAGACTCTGTTGTACACTGCACGTGTGCCAGGTAAGGCAGTCTCCTTCCTAAGTATGGGAAAGGTTATGGTTCAGACCATTCCAATGGTCTTGCAATAATGCTGAATTTCTTCAGGTAATTTGTAAAAAGCCCTGTGAGGTACAGGAATGGGTTACTTACAACCCTTGTAGTACTTGTTTTCAAATTCCCTAACAAGTAATGCCTGTCAGTTGTTTCCAGGTACAGGCATTTCTGCCAAGAGAATCAGCAAAACAAGTCCACTGACCCAATTACACTTCCAGGATTTTTTGGGGGTTGTTGTTTCTAATTTGTTTCTTGAGTAAGGTATTTCTATTGATCTACCCAAATTCCATATTGACACAAAGTTAACATCAAAACAAAGCTTCCAGGAATATCTAGTTCTTTTCCATGGTGCTTCATGTGGTTCCAGCTCAAAGCAATAAACCAGGAGTTGAGAGTCCTTACTATCACATCCTATGCCTCACCAAACCTCTGCTCTGTACAGCACAGTGGCAGTAAACTGGGATCGTGCTACTCAGTTTTATCCAGAATTGTTCTAGAACAGCAGGTAGAGGAATAACTAAATGTGTTTGACACATACATGAACTCACTTGTCCTCCTGTGTTCCTGTACAGCTTTGGTTCCCTGAGATCTGGCAGTGTGCTGCCTGGCACAGGGACTGCTCTCAGCAGGCTGACACAGCCATGTCCACTGGCTCACCATCCACTGGGATGGATCCACAGCCTGCCTTGTTTTGTGCTGCAGAAACCTGACAACAGAGAAGTATTTAAATGCCATCTTACAAAGCAAGGCTAGCAAGGGTGGTGTTCTGCCAGCACTCCCTGGAACAGGACAGCAGACATTACTAAGTGGGAGTTGTAGGGTGATCTGTGAGAACAGAACAGATGAGGATAGTTAAATGTGGATGTAGCTGGATGGCTTTCACTAATATTGCCCCAATGCAGGTTGGATGTTACAGACAACATGTTCTGACAGCTTCCTCCTATCTTTGCAGGAGGAGGCTAAGCCATTTGGAATGACTACATTGTATTTAGATTAATAAAGAGAAACGTACCACAGTGTGGTTTCCTGGTAATTTGAAGGGCTGTACCTGTGTGTACATGCTTCATATTCCAGAAGAATAACAAGACACTGCTAGTAATCCTGTGGTTTAGTAACATTTCTAGATAATAGCTAGTTAGCTTTACTTTCTGAAGAGCAAGGTAGAAGAAGGCATGGATTTTACATGAGGCAGAAAGGTGGTTCATAGATGCATATCCCTGCCTTATCATTGCCTTATACTTCTAAATTCTAACTGCCTTATATTTCTAAATTCTAGTTTCCAGTGGGCTCTGAGAAGCCATGGAAAAGACAGGGAGTTGAAGCCATTTTCAGTATGGAAAAGTCTGTCAAAATAGAAGTCTGCCTACCATAAAAAGACTTATTTCTTCTAGCAGAGCAGATCAATTACTAATAGCTACACTTTTGAACCAGGGAGAGCAGCTCAGAAAAACCTTCCCAAGGTGGTACACTCCAATCTAAGAGCAGCATCCTTATGAACTAGGCACAGCTTGCAGCAGATATACTTGGTAGAAATCTGTGCTTTACATGAGAAGGCTCTAAAGGAATACCCTTGACAGCTTTAATGGATAATATCCTAATGGTGCATAGTATTGTTGTTGGTAGCTGAACAAACTTGTTCAGTCAGTGTGTACTTTAGCTCTTTAGTTCCAACTCCAGCCCATTTTCCAGTCAAGGCTTATTATGCAGGTAGGTAGCAGAGCACTTCATGCAGGGAAGAAAAACAAAGTGTTGTAATCTAGATGTCTCAAACTGCACCACTTTCTCTGCCCACTGTTTAGTGGGATACGTAAAGTGGGATGTTGTTACCCCAACTGTTAGTGCCTCAGAACTTCTATCTCCTGCTTTGCTTCTTTAATCTGTGACCTCGTTTCCAGGAGTCAGGACTCACCTAACAAAGGTAGGACTGAGTTTTGCATTAACTGCCTGCAGTGTATGCATGGCTCACAAGGCACAGGATGTTACTTTGGATATGGTTCTAAGAGTTTCTGCTAGTCTTTGTGATGTATTTCTGCTCATCCAGCAATCTCCCTCCCTCCTTTACACTTGAGCTGTTCTGGTTTGAGCCCTTAGCTATAGTTCTACTTGTTTAATTGTCAGAAACTCCTCAGCCAGATGAAAAGCTTGCAGTTTAGTACCTGGAACCAGCCCAGGAACAGCACACAGGAAAGTACCTGGGTCACAGTGAAGAAATGGGCAGGAATGTGTCATTAGGATTGGACCCTGGGATGTCTTACGCTGGTGCAAGTGTCATGTTAGAAATAACACTGCCCTTTCCATTGCATGAAGTTGGCAAGTGTTATGGTTGCAGTGCAGGCTGTTGTCTGTCATCACTTTTCTCTGGATTGCCCCCTTAGCTAAAGCAACACTTTAGTGTTAACTTTTACTTTAAATTATGGTTAAGCTGCTGTATCCTCTATTCTCATGCCCTTCTGGGAAACAAGTAAAAGTAAAGTGAACTCATCTCAGTTTTAGACATTGTCAATTTTGACAGCCAAAAACCAGAAAACTGTGTTATGGACACAATTTAAGACAAACAGAATATTCTTCTCTGTGATGTTTACATGCCTTAGCTTCTGCTGATTTCTGTGATTTCAATGGCAGTCACACCTGAGGATCATATCAATGTAATGCTTAAAATGCATATTACAAAAAATCAAACACTTTTTTGCTAAAACATGGTGAAACCTACAGCAAACCTAGAAGACACTACTTTTTTCAAATTTGGCCACTTGAGTGATGGCTAAATCACATGACCCTCCTGAAAAGACAATACACAAACAAGATTTTGATGCACACATCATCAGTTCAGCAGTTCCAAGCAATTTATTTGGCTGTTTAATGGAAATAGAATGTTTTTTAAAGCTGAGATTGTCCAAGTTTTTTGTCAATTTTAAGTTTCTTTAGTTGAACTGGTTTAGACTTGGATTATTCCAATTACTCTTCTGGTCCTACTGGCAAGCATCACAGTGCAAACTACTGGTAGTGTTTGGAAGTCAGCAATTATCTGAAAAGATGACCAGGCTAAGGTCAAACTAATGTTGTATAGGAAATTACTTACCTACTTAGACACATTAGAACAGGACTGGCTTCTACAGCAGGTGAGTCCTTGGAGTCAGCTAGTGTGGGAGAACTTTAATCTTGAGTGTAATAAATTTCCTCCGTGAATAAATAAGAGACCTTGATCTGTTTTCCTTGGACAGTACTCACTGAAGCCAATGTTCTTAAAAGAGCCATCATGACAGCTCTAGAAGTAACCATGAATTCTAGACACCAGTGATGACCCTTCTATTTCACTGCTCTTCCAGTGTAAGGAACAATGTCTAAAGACTCTCAAGGTTAAAATGGGAAGTTACACTTAACCAAACATACATAACTAGACAACTGCTGACTTTTTAAGCATTGTGCAAAACATGTAAATCTGCCTCCCTTATTTGTCACTTCCTGCCATTAGAAACCTCTACTATGCAATTCATACTCTTAACTGTAGATTGGTGTTGCTTAATTAAGTAGCAAGCAACAGGTAGAAGAAACCTTTAAATATATGTACATATATAAATGTACATATGGTAGTAACAACACCTCTGGGCTAATTTTTTCAGAGGCTGAAACAGCTGAATGTAACCCATGTCTGAAGAGTACACTGCTTGCCTCAATGCATTTTAAGCAAACAATTAAATCAGTGCACTTCCTATAATTAAAAATCCAAACAGCTTCCTGGCTGCTGGTCTGTTCCTAGGGAAAGGCTCAGTAAACAGTGTAATGACACAGGGGCTTGTGCAAATGTAAAGAAAACTTGCTCTATGAAGGTAAATTAATGCAATTTAAAATTAAAAAGAAATTTTAGTTTGATCCGTGACACGTGGGAGCAATTAAGTAACTTCAAATTGTGACACTATTAAAAGACATGGGTTCTGCTCCTTGCCCCTTTTTCACATTGCTGGTAACTCATATGGTAAATAATTTTCACTTGAATGAACCTGTAAGGAACAAATCAAGATTTCTTACAACTTCTATCTTTTGGTATCTTTGGTGTCTTGGAAGTTAACTTTCAAAATTGATCAAAATTAAAAATAGGATATCTTAGTTTTGAAACCCACAGGACAAGAGAAATATCAAGAAGTGCTGATAAACATCAGCACATTTGGTGTGGTCTGAAATGTACTAACTTTACTGGATGTAACTGAACTCTAAAATTTATATTCAGCAGTGTTTTGGCAGGGGAGATAAAAGCCTCTGCATGGGACACACGTCCTGGAAGTCTTTGGAGGCTCTTGCTTTATTTAGAGAAGCTCAGTTCTCAGATGGCACCTGCTGGCCTGTGGGTCATGCAAAGATTGCACTCAACCAGTTCAAGATGCTTTTTTCCTTTCCTCTTCCTCAGTTTGGGAAGAGCTGCTTCTTCCAGTATGCTCCTCCATACATCCAGTTACTCAAAATTGATACCAATGCATGAAAATCTGTTCTTGGTATCCATTTAGTTATTTAAGAAATAATTTCTTCATAATGCAGCTCACTCAGAAGTTTGTTGTTACCAATCAGTATGAATTAAGTTTACAGGAGAACTATGATAAACCATCCAGAATTAACTGTAGAGCAAACTGGTTCATGTACCAACCCTACTAGTCCTATAAAACCTCAAATGTTACATACCTATGTAGGTAATCATTAACTTATTATCATTAAACTTGCTTCAGTTCACTAAGGTTATGGATTTGATCAGGAACAATACTTACAAGTCCCATCTAACTCACCTGTGATGTAGCCTTCTAAAGCTTTTGGCACCAGTGATTTTGCAGTTCTTAGGTCCTCAGCTGAGCATTTGCCTTCCTCGAGCCCAAAGGACATTCCCATTCTCTTCAGCACCTCAGTGTCATCATGAATCTCAAAAGTGTTATCGAAATTAAAGAGGTATTCAAATCTGCATGTAAAAAAATAAGAGTGAGATGGTTTTGAAAAGAGCACAGCTGGGCTTTTCTTGACTATTCTGTCTCTGGTCTTTGGTATGCACTGAGGTAAGCCTCTGGATTCTTCATTTTCTGTAAAGGGTCCTTAAGGAAAGAGAAGTGCAACAAATGCTGTCTCTCTCCTGTGTCTGTGACTGGCATGCCTACAGGGTTTAAAATGGCACTTTCTCAATTAAAGTAACTTCACCACTGCAGGAACATAGTCTAAAATTTTCTACCTCATTAAGTAGATTCAAAGGGGAAGAGGGAGGCCTTATTAAACATGAACCTTCACTTGCACTAAAGCCAATACTTTCAAAGGTCACCTGCAGCCCTGTCACTAAAATAACTGTTTTGTTTTTGCTTCTTTTACATTTCACTTTCTGTTCTAATGTGCAACACTCCTCCTGTGAACTGACCTATTTACCTCGGTGTAATTTTGCTGGTTGGGATGCAGCTAGCACAGCAGTCTGTTCAGAGTCCTGCGTGTTCACAGCCCACCATTTCTGCTGCAAGACTCTCAAAATATTTTTTGTTGCATATGGAAGTGGAAACAGTGCCATACACTCAGGGCAGCTCCAGGAGAAGCAGGGGCATTGGAGTGGCCTTACGCTATGTGCACAGGCTATTAAAAGCCTGGGGGCACTGGTCCAGGCATTACAACATACAGCTAGCTCCTGGTGCCTCATTTTCTGCTGGCAAAACCTTTATCCCTGGAAAAGCAACCCAACCATGAGATGCAATCTGTAAAAGATAACTCACTGGTGGGTCTCCCATAAATCTCCAAGCTCATGTCGCATGTCCGTTTTCTTGATAGGTTTTTTTTCTAATAGTCTTTTTCTTATACCTGGAGCCAAGTCAGCTTGGAAGTGTTACAGCTTGTGTGTCTATACATGGAATTTTAACTTAGCAATCTAATGCTTTGTGCTGGGTGTAATTGTCAGTTACAGGCACCATTTCTCTTGTGACTCCTGCTGTGTTACTTGTAAAGCCTATTGTTTAGGCACCAGTATTTACTTAAGCACAAGTACATTAACAGGGAAAATAAGATGTGCAAGTCAGCTTGGAAGTGTTACAGCTTGTGTGTCTATACATGGAATTTTAACTTAGCAATCTAATGCTTTGTGCTGGGTGTAATTGTCAGTTACAGGCACCATTTCTCTTGTGACTCCTGCTGTGTTACTTGTAAAGCCTATTGTTTAGGCACCAGTATTTACTTAAGCACAAGTACATTAACAGGGAAAATAAGATGTGTCACTATCCCTTTGTACAATTACTTTCCTGGACTGGTGCAGCTCAAGGCACAGAGCCATGTGTACACAAACAGGGATGGGAGACCAGTGTCATACCAAGTTACTATCAGCAAGCTGTGTCATTACTGAGTCATAACTGAGTCCCATTTTTATAGTGCTGGATCAAAGACTTCATTTACTGATAGCTCTGCATTCCTCCTCCCACGTGCTGTGCTCAAAGACTGGATGTTAGAAAGGAAGGTGACTTCTTTCCCCTCCCCACAAGTTTCCAAACAGAAATTTACAGTTGTTTCTCCAGTACAGTTTCTAGCAAGCTGCAATTACTGATACAGGAGGTCCCTGTGCTTCTTCTACCTTTGCTGTTAACAGCTATTTGAGGATTATCTTTCAGGAACTTGACGTGACCTTTTTGAACTTATGTAAACTTTTGGCATGAACAACATCAAATATTATGCTTTGCATGGACTGTTACAAAAACATTCTTTTTGTCTAAAACCTGTCACCTGGTACCTCCTCTTAATGTCTCTTGATTTTAACTTTAATAAGCAACTCTGTGTAGCTGTTCTCTGTGCATCTTCTCCCTATCACCCATGATTTTAGAGACACCTGTGAATCCCCTGTCCTCTCTTTTCAAGGCCAGAGAGCCCATCTGTTCCTCCTGTCAAAGCCTTCTCATACCTTCACCCCTTCTTGCTGCCCTCCTGTGTCTCTCTTGCCTGGTTAATGCTGTATTTTTTCCAAGAATGAGAGTGCACAGTCTTCCAGCTATATAAGCACTATATGCATCTAGTTTTACAATTTATTCCTTACTGTTTTTCCTAGTAATTCCCAGCATTGTTTCAGCTGTTACTGAGAAATCAACTTTTGTTCTCACAGAATCATCTCCTGGGTTGACATTGTATGACTCAGTTCTAAAAACTAGGTCCAGAGGCCAAAAATACTGTGTATACAAACTTTGGGTACACTTCCTGTCCCTTTTACTTGGTAAGTGCAAATTTGATCACCAGTGATTTTAACCTGGATTTTCTGCTCTTGCAGGCAATTCTTTCTGTAGGGTACCAGAGCTCACTTCCTGCATGTTCTGTCTAATGTACAGCATTGTGGCTCCAATGGCAAAATCTTCTGCATTTTCCATTAGAGATGTTCTAATATCCCAAGTTTCTGACACATCTGTTGTGTCTGAGTACTCATTAAACTAGCGATTCTGGTTCCTTTTTTTTCTTTTTCCTAAGCCCAACAGCAATTATGTAGAAGCATCACATACACTGAATATATTTTTCCTGATTAAATGGGACTGCCTTGCTCAGGTGCATCATCTTTTCAACGTGATTTTTAACTACTTCCTTTTTATCTGAAGACTTTGCTTTTCCTACTCGCACTTCAGAAACGCCATTCCCAGTATGCTGCTTGGCACCCATCTGCCTTCTCAAACTCAAAACAAAGCTTGCCCAATACCCTCTTTTATTACATGTGAGAAATTCCATTGTTTTGGCTGGATAAAGCCTGTTCTTGCACAGGAAGAAGTGTAGAGGACACAAACTTATGTTCCTCATGATACTAAATTGCCTTTATACGTACAACTTTTCCAAGCAATTACTCACCTTTAGAAGATCCTCTGTAAATACAGTTTTGAGTAGTAAATGCTGTGAGTTTAGCTTTTCACTGGACTTTCTAACATCTGTGCTTTATATAAATGTTATTTGGGAGAAGAAAGGAAAATGGAAGCCCTTTAAACAGTTGAGGCTGGAACCATGTGCAGAGCAAGCACTCAAGCTGACCAGTAATGGGGTTAGCAAATCCTCTCCAATAAACTGCAGAATGTGAATTCTCCAAACTGAGTGACCACTTTTGCTAACTGCCTGATTTAGCAGTGGTTTAAACACGAGCAATTTCTGGCACTGTTTATCTACAAACTGCTGCTGCCACTAATCAGTTGTACAAATAATAACCACAGTGGAAAGCTTGCTTAATTTGGGTTGTACACTTAATGACCTCCAGATGACAGTAATACCAAAGCTGGGTTATATAAACTCAAGTGCCAACAGCTCAAATCATTTTGGTGTGCTCACTTTTAGCAGCAATGTTTTCATATAGTTTAAGACCAAAGAAATGTGTTACACTGCTCTAGATCCCAAATGCCAGTTTCATCTCTGACAACCTCAGTGCAGCAGTTCTGAAGTTTTAGTATGAAACTGTTCGATTTTTTAATGACTTCAAACCTAAATGTAGAGACCTGTTCAAAAGCGCAGGAAGAACTGTATGGTGTGACTGTAAAATAAGGCTATAATTATGCTAAATAAAAATTGTTCCTAAACTTGCTGAACTGCAGTGCTGATGGGAGCATTCCAAAAGTCTTGCCACAGAATGTAGGGACTTCAGTCCAATTTTCTACAAAAATTCAGCTTACACTAGTGTTGCTGTTTTGCATGTTGATGCTTCGGTTACTAGCGACTGTCTATTTTTGCTGTCTGCTGACTGACTTGAAGTTCAGCCCAGGATTTGCATAGCACAGAGTGAAATCTGTAATCTACAGCATTAAAGCAAAGCCAGCTATTTCCAGCTAATAAACTAGTTGTGATCCGATTAACGGTTAACGTAAGAGTACCTCATACTTTCAGCCATATTTTCACAGGATGAAGAGCACGAGCACTCAGAGTTACACAACTGAAAGATTTTCAGATTACTGAGAGGGCAACTATAGCAGTTTGCTCACAAAAGCAGTGTTTCCAAATTCTATATCATCTCCTTCAGAGAAGTGGGTGCCACCTTTTTGCTGTTAAAAGACAGTTCTGTGTTACTGTTGTCACCTCCAGGAAGTCACTTTTGTGTCACGTGGATCAGTTCTGTTTCTGACCTTGCACATTTTCATGGCATATTAAGAGTATGAATTCAGATGTGCTACCACATGGAGTTGTTAAAAGCTAGTGCTGTCCTAGGATATAATTTCATTCAGTTACTCCTCCCATGTAGTGAAAGCTCTTTGATCTGTCAGTCTGAAGTGCCTTTTCCAACCATCAAAGTCACCTGTTTTAACTAGTGGTTGTAAAGCAATGCTCATTCCTATTACTACTGCAGTTGCATTAAATATTAAAAACACCCAACAAACAACCCCCTGAAATGATAGCAGCAAATGTAAATACAATCATTGCTTTTAGTAAACTAGAAAATTTCCCCTCATTTGTTCAAGGAAAAATTCCAGTCCACAAAGAAAAGAAAATGCTAAAAATTGGTTCTATAAACACTCACTTATCACTTGATATTCTGCAGTCTATAATTGTTCTTTTGCTAGTGTTGACTATTAAGAAAGGCAGCTGTATTGTGGAGTTCAAAGCTGGAGGGCCTTGGTTCTGCTGTTCATTTTGTTGATTTCTTTGTACCAAGTTTTTGAATGCTATTTGCTGTAAAAAGAAAGAAAAAAAGAAATGATCACTGACAATAAAAGAGCAAATAGCAGTGCTTCCAGGAGGGGAAATGTTGTAGGTCTTATTTACCAACTCTCAATATCTCTAGAAATTTTCTGTCAAAAAGGAAGCTGTGGCCAGACTTTCTCTTTGCACTAGTGAAGTTCACAAGGAACAGAAGTTAAACACCCATTTTTCACAGATATGCTATTGGCTATGCCCCCCTCACACTCCCTGGAGAAGAAACAAGAAAAGAGCACTAAAGCTTGCTGAAGAATGCTTCCCCATTCCCTTTGGAAAGGCACTAGAGTCAGAGGTCTTTTCTGTTAATTTTAATCCCTAATTACCTCAGACTAGAAGCTAGTTACACTGAAACAAAAGGTAACAGAAGTTCTCAGCTTCCTCTGTATTCTATCACCCAACCTGTGCAGCTCCACATGGTGGCCAGCTCCCTCTTCTCTGGCTCCAAAGTGTCAGTTTTGAAATTCTCCTCTGGCAGTGATTAAACAGGTGCTGTTTGTGACACTACTCATTGTCTGCTGATTTCTTATGTCTTCACTGCACAGGTATGAAAATGTGTGGGTTTAGGAATGTTACTGGAGGGACTAAAAGTCAGTGTTCTTTCCCACTTTTGAGGCACAACTTACTCCACTTAAGGGGAAGAAGATGGATACCCAGGATCCCAAAGGACTGGTAAACCATTTGACAACAAATGGAACGAGCTGTAGGCAGTAGGGGAGTCAACTCTGCCATTTTCAGACTAAAAGTTAAGAGTGTCTGAGTTGTGTCTAATTTGCACTAGAATAATGTCATGTAACTCTTAGAGAAGCTACTAATGTATTGGGTCAGACAGATAGCATCAAAGTTGCATCTCAAGCAGAGAAACAGGTTTTGGTGATGAAAAAAGGAGAAGCATCAGCTATTTAAAAGTTTCAGTGCATATCAATTACATGGAATTACTAATCAATGTAGTTGAATCAGGGAAAAAAGTACAGCCCTATTGCTGTTTGATTACATTTCATTTATTAAAAGTCAGCACAAACCAAGCCACTTAAGAATGCTCCTAATTGTTCTTATAAATGTTTCTCTATAAACAAGATGCATTTGGAATATATTCCTGCATTAAAGCCAAAACTCAACTCATCTCAAAGGTGCATGTCAGAATGTGAAGGTGTTGGATTTGCCAGCCTTCTACTCTGAAGATCCAGAAATGTGTCTGCCTCCAAACCACTCTGTACAGGTCAACACAAGTTCTCTTGTAAACTTCATAGCTTAGATTGAAGAGAAATTCTCAAGTAAGCATGACTCAGGGTAGCTCTGGGGAAACCTGGAGTCAACAAAGGGACTCGGGAGTTGTTTCCCCTCCCACTAACATTAGCAAAGCTGCAGCAGAACACTGAGGAAAGCTTGAGGCATGTGGATGCAGTGCTGTTTTACAGCAGGTAAAACTGCACCAGAATGCAAGGGCAAGAAGTCCTCTGCTGGACTGCAGAAAGGACACAAGGGTCAGACTTTTCACCCTAGTGTATCACAGCTGCTAAATCAATCGAGAAAGAACTTCAAAAGTTGTAAGATGTGGGATTTGCACTTGATATTTTCACTTATAGAAAAGAATAATCACAGTTAAATATACCTGCAGCAGCAGTTCCTGTAGCTGGGCTCGCTTCTGTTTTATCCTTTCCATCCGCTTCTGCTTTTCTATCTTAAAAGACAAATGTAAACGCATCAAGATACTTACCTACCTTGTCTGTTCCATTGTGCCAAACTGAACAGGTTTTCCTTGTGAAGGGGGTGAATTCCATGGCACAATAAGTAAATTGCAAAAATCTTTTCAGGCCTACCTGTTCACTATTTTCTTGGGTTTCAAACAGACCAACCACATGGTCATGTGAGTTCCTCCTTTAGGCAGGACTGACAAACTGTAATTTCTGTCTTTGTCAACAATTTTAACTCCAGTAAGGAATCAATTATTACAAGAGACTATTATCTCCCCACCCATTCCTCCTCTGCTGTACTGTGCACTGAGTGCCACTTAGCTCCAAATGAAATGCTTGCTTGAGGGGGTGCTTTGGGGTTTGGGTTTTTTCCCTTCTGCCTTCCACTCTTTTGGAATTGTGCATGTCCCACTGTTCTCCTAGCTACAAGCTACCAGACATATGTGTATGGAGGCTGGGCCCAGGATCATCACCTACATTGTCCCAGTGACCTCCACCTTTTGTCTGGACTATGCACTTGAGACTTGATTAAACTAATAAGATTGCAGCAACAAAAAGGGAGTAGAGGTAATATTTTCTATGTGAGCACAGAATCCTTTTCTTGTGACAGTTCTGTTAGTGCCAGTTTCTGGGGCCAAGCTGTGCTCACCCTGAACATGCAGTGTTTGGGACAGCTGGAGTGCTGCTGACCCTGCAGGCACAGTGCTATTTGGAACTGTCCTCTGGGGCCATACTAAACAACTGGACAAGAGTCATCATGGTTAAAAGGGTTTTTTCCTCATCACCCTGTTGGCTCCAGCATTAATCACTGCTCCCCAAAATACAAAACTCTTTAAATTACTTTTTCATTCAACCACTGAAACTAAACAAGATCTTTTAAAACTTAGCTGGCCCAAATGCTGCTATTTTATTTACAGTGTTGTTTGTGGTGGTTCTGCTCCTCAGACACTCTAGTGTTTAAAATGCTTCCTTCAGAGCACAGTAGATGACTTTCCTTGCTGGGACTCTTAAAACCAACAAACATACAGATACCATTGAGATATAGTTTCTGTATAATAAGCTTTTTTGTACTGATTTCTCTTTTTTGTACTGTTAATCTCATTACGGATTTAAACTGTAAGAAGAGTTGACGCTTTATGCAGCTTTAAAAGCAAAAATCATTCTGATTTTCACTGCATGAAAATGCAGCTTTATTTTCTATTCTTTTCTATAATGTCAGAGGAAGCAACATTTTTTAAAAAATATGCCTGGCTTCCATTTTGAGCCTGAAACATTGAATCGTGTGTGATCATGGAGATGACACAATGATACTCAAGTTCCATCCTTGTAACAGTGACCTGTATGGAAGACAATGCATTCACAAGAATGCATGTAAAATGCAGATATGTCCTTAATTTACAAAGCCCATCCTGCAGCACAACGATTGAGCACACGCACACTCCTTGGTGGATGCATTTTCCAAGCTGCTGGAATGGACAAGGACAGTAAAAGCTTTTACCTTACACAAATAGAAAGTCAATTGCTGTAAATGAGGCTGCATAAACAGAACTGTCCTGTGCTGGAGAGACACCCACCCACCTCTTCAGACACCTAATGCCCAAGTATGACCAACACAAAACATACTGAGCAGTATTTGCAGACAGCCATTACCACACGCTGCAGTAAGTACAGTGACTTGTGCTTTTTATTTATAGCACATTTGGCCTGAAGGACAAGCAACATTTGTGCATGTAAATTCTGGCATCCCTGCAAAAAACCACTGTAACTCTTAGCCTGCTGGAAAAATAATGGAAATAACCAGTAAGTAAAACTTTTTTGTTTCTCTGGCAGTTCGTAACTGGTATTTGACATCCCAGAAGGAATTGTTTTTCAATTTAATTTCCTTTGAATGACATTTCCCAAGTAAAGACATTAACAGAGACTTGGTCTCCTTTTAAATGTGTACCACTTTGTGAGCATAACTGCACCATAAATTCTTTTCTCTTTCTTCTGGTTAATTCAAGCTACTACAGACTTTAATCTTACAAATCACCCTGATTTAATACACGTCCATTGTTGTTTCATTTTTTAAAAAATCCTTTATGCAATGTACACTAAATAAAACTGAACTGAACTAAACAAACATATCCTTGCAGCTCATTCCCATATCAATAGTTGTATTTTCACAGTGTGCAAGCATCAAAACCTGTCAGGTTCAAATTGAGAAAAAAACCTCTTCTAACAAAGAGCATCTCCTTTATCACAACATGTGAACTACACAGAATTTCCCATGCACCTCCCCTTACCTCTAGGTTCTGACATTCCTGAGCTGAGTTGGTAGGAAGGCCAATCCATCTGATTTCCTTCTTCTCCTTTGAGATGATGTTCATTGCCATCAGGACGTTAAGGGCATCATAAACTCTCCGTCTGATATTTTTCTGATCATAAGCCTGCTAAGAAAATAACATGGCATGAATTACAACAAAAGAATCAAACCAGGAGAAACCAACTGAACATATCCTGAATATATCTATTCAGGTATGTAGAAGCTAAAAAGCCAAAATGGCAGTTTAAGTCAGAGTGGTATCAAAACATGATCCCTCATCTCTACTACTCCTTGGATACCACATGAGCATGTTTGGTTGCAAATGGAAGCTTCAGGCCTGCTTGAAGCATCTATGCAGGAAATTCCAACCATGGCAAGTCTGTCACAGCTGAAAAGCCTGACAAGACCACATATGGTACAAGAAAACTTTCAACCTTCTCTGAAAGTTGATTATTTTGGTGGACTCCTCCACGTTGTTTGTATTTCAGAGGGAGTTCAATTCTTCATTTTAATTCAGTATTTTTGCATTTCAGAGGGTAAGGCTTTGCATTTGAGAAGTAGTTAAGTAAGCACAGACTGTGGCAGGACAGTCCAAAAGCAGAAGGAACAGAATTCCATGATAAACCAACAAATCTGCAATGGTGCAACAATTTCAAGACACATCTGCTTACCGAGTCTGCAGCCAGGTGGCTGTTAGAATTTGTGAATTCTGACACCAGCTCATCAGCGACTTCGTTGTATGAAGTTGTTCCTTTGCGCTGAACTTTTTCACAAACTTTCATTGAAAAATGCCTCAGACCCTTCCCATTTTTATCTCCTTTTTTGCTTCTCTTACTGCAGAGATGAAAGAATCATTTTAATACACTGAATATTAGTAAGCTACTCGGTTACGCAGCAGAAGGTCTGCCTCCTGCAACAGGAATCAGGACTATCCTGATGAAAAATAAAACTGTTCTGGTGATTTGCATCAGTTTCTTGTTTCTTACAAGTTGGCAAAAAACGTGCACTAGAGCCCTTTCCCCTTCCCTGGCTATTTCTGCATTGATAGCATTTGAACACATGCTGCTGGGAAGATGCTAACAAATGAATTTGTAATTCATCTCCAGGAAGTTTCACAAAAAAAACCAAAAAAAAACAAAAAAAGGAAAATCTCACAGGGTGTTTATGTGCCTGGAAGGCAGATATATGGGAAACTCTCCTGTGTATACCTAAAATAGAAAGGCTTAGACATCCCTCTTCAAAATACAGCAGGAGATACCTTAATTCCCCTAATAACCAAGTCTAGCATCTGTGCCATCATAGCTAAGACAGAGATATAAGAATCTCTTTTGTGGAGAGTAAGTACATATTCACTGGGTTTTATGGTGCCAAATTAACAACTGGCAACTGTCAGGGTTATTTTCCATTCACCTTCTTCCAGAAGAGCAAGTGCTTAGATAATGGTAATGGAAAAAACCAGGAGCAGTTGGTTTTATCACACAAGCTAGATTTGGATGTGTATTTCAACAGAAGCCTTTAAAAAGCTCTGCTGAGTTGGTTTGGATTTTGGTGGGTTTCTTAATTACAGCTTTACAAGACATTTGATAATATGTTTCAGGGAGCTCTGTTACTTTACAGAAAAAAAGCCCAGTTCTGTCAGTAGTAACAAGCTAAGGAAAACATTAAAATACAAGAATGTTTTTCAAAATTTTCAATTTAAGAAAACAGAACACTGGAAAGGACAGAATAAAAAAAAAAAGGCACAGAAAGGAACACCAAAAGACTTAAAAAATACTCTCAACATTTCCAATACCTGTGGAGATACTCAATTTTATCAACCCTGATAGGCAAATAAATAAAAGCACCCTGGATGCCTTCAAAAGAGTTTCAGAAGCAAAGGAAAAGATCATCTGTTTACAAATGTCTGTCACATTGAAAACCAGCACCATCCTGTTTCTGAAGATCTGTTTGTTTTTCACAACTCCCAGTATCATCTGTAACAGCAAATGTATTTATCAGGAAGTGATAAAGCTAAAAGGAATGAATTGTAACTGCAAGGAATAACATCAACACAGCTTTTATGGGAAGGAGTGAAAGCTGCTGAAAGCAGGAACTGGACACCATCTCTCTGAAGGAGGGGTCTGAAGGAAAACAGGGATGGCCATATACATAAAATATTTGTTCAGTAATACTCACCTCTCTGAAAAATCTGACTCTATAAATTCTCGAGTCCGTTTTCGGTCCCTGAAAAAAACCAATTCAAATTGAAAATGAAAAGAACTTTACAGATAATAAAAATCATTCCTAGCTGGTTCTAATGTTTGCTGTTACATGTTTTTTGAAAGGGGAAAATATGACAAATGGAGAAGGTGGTTGGGATGCTGGAGGTTGTCTAAGCTCGCAGTCAGACAAAATCTCTTCCCAATCTTACCATTTGCCCATATGAATTTAGGAAAGTCACTTCACCTGGAACTATAGAAAGTGCTGCTGTGAGTGAGATAACCAAAGCCCAGCAAAAGGAGAAGCTGGGCTGCTTTGAAAATACCTATTTAAAATTCCACGTGGAATAAAAATGCCTTTAAACAGTGCATGAAGTACATCTTGTATTTTCAGCCCATTGGGATGTCCTGAAATCTTTAAACAAAAACCAAGGTAAAACACTAAACATGTTGCTATTAGAGCTGATGCATACAGAGCTGCAGAGAGAGGCTCTGAAGAAGCAGCTGACAGGAATTTTGCATAGGACTGGCAGTCTGCAGTCAGCTGGTGGTTCCTTATTATCCATTTATTACCCTGAGCAAGCAGCCTGCAGGAGCTGTATTCCAGGCTTGCCTTTCACTCCCACAGCTGACACAACGCACATTGCCCGAGCTGTCAGTAGGTTAGGTCACATTGTGTCCCTGCAGTTTCCACAGCAGGACTCACAGCAGGGCTCACTGCAGACTGCACAGCTGAACACCTGACACTGCTATGAGGGAAGCTGGGCAAAACCAATGGGTTTGAAGACCTGTGCCTTGAAATCCAGCATGGATTTGGTTGTGTGATCCAGAACACATCAGCAGGCATCTTCCTTGTTACCAACAGCAGATTTCTGTCTTTGGCAATCCCTGTCCATGGTGCTTAAGTGGGGGCTGCCTGCAGCCCAGCTGAGGGTTGCAATGCTTCCTTGGGCAGGGACCTGGAAAGGCAGTGAATGGAGACATGCCCCCTGGTCTGTAAGCCAGGCTGCCAGGGGCTGTGTGGAGTCCTGACAACGAATAGACTCCTCTCATTTGATTTTGGAAACAATTTGGAATCTGTGGAGGAAACAATGAGTAAAGCAAGTGGTTGGACTTGAAATCCTCTGGAACTGTCTTCAGCAAGAGCTCACTGCCTCGATTCAGCAATACCACAGACCCTTCCTCACCTCTGTTCTGCAGATGAAAACATGACCTATCGCATGGACACTTCTGCAGGGATTGATCAGTCTGTCTGGAGTCATCTGGCTCTTTTTCACGGCTGACACAAGAGTTAGGCTCATCGGAAATCCTGTGTCTAGATGTGGACAGTGCACAGGGACAGTGCTTCTCCTTGGTGGTGGTGGTTGGTTGCTCTGGGGGGTCCCTGTCACTGGGTTTGGATGAAACTCAAGAAGCCGTGGGTGTTGATTCTCTGAGCTAGCAAGCTGTGACCAGACAGGATAGCTTGCCCCTTCTTTGGATAGTGAAAGAACACCTTCCTGGTCTCCACATTTCACAAAATTTGCAGAAGCGAAGTAATCTCTGACAACTCCTTTTTTCAAATAAAATCAGGACTAAGTGGATTCAAAAGGTATTTCAGGAAATGAACACATACTCCAAAAAAAATCAAGCCTAAAATCTGCCCAGCTGAGTCTGCCATTTACCAGCTCTCTGGTGGTAATCCAGCAATTGGGAAGTCCAAGCCTATGGCAGTCCTTGCTTACAGAGTACAACGGTACAAATGCTGCACTCTAGTTTCTGCTGTCTCCTAGGTGCTCCCTTTGCCACCTCTAAAGTTGGAAAGGTACTGCTGACATTCATCACTGATCCAAACATTACTTTGTCCAGACCAGATTTCATTAGAAGAGACACAGAATGTCATACTACTCTGGAGTACCTCAGAACCCCTTGAAATTTGTTAATATAAAATTGCAATAAAAATACCACATTGATTACATTCAGAATTTTCCATTAATTTACTCTTTAAGTCTCTTGAAGTGATTTTCACAGCCTCTTCCCCCGTAGGCACGTGCCGCTATGCTCAACAGCAGCACTGCTTGGACATACAATGAATTTATGAAAAAAACATAGGCTTGTTTTAAGAGGACTTACGAATTTGTGACTCTGTTTTCACAAAGAAACAGACACTGCCATAAACCACAATTAAACAGTGAAGTGAGCAGTGCTTGTACTGCTGTGTTCATGTGCTCCAGACACGAGAAGTGTGCACCAGGCTGAAAAGCACACTCCATACTCTTTTTAGCTGTGAAAGAACTAGAAACTGTAAGCCAACATATAGATACAACAGTATAAATAACATAAAAGATCAGAACAGATCCTCAGACATCTTTAGACATGACAAAAATCTTACCCTGGGACCCATCCGGAAGCTTCCGCAATGTGTGTCTGTGTGACCATGGTTGGAGCTGGGTTATATGGACTCCCAATCAGAACACTCCCTGAATTGGTCAGTCTTTGTGGTGTGCTTATGATCTGTGAAATTTAGGAATGAAAACCACAGCTCTCTTAACCAAACAGAGGTTACCAAAGCCCAAAATTCATCCTAAGCACTGCACTAAGAAAAGCAGGAAGAATTCTGTACCAGAAGCAACCTGCAGTCAAAATATACGTAAGAGAGGTCAGCACAACAACTGCACACAGTAATTACAACACTGTTAAATTTTCAAATTGTACCCTATTGCTGCATTATTCATATGGAGAAGAACTAGACAACTAAAAACAATTCCTAGGTACGGCAAATAGGATCTGTACCTATAGACACCCAATTGTTTCTTTGCAAGCACTACTAGGCAATTTCTTGATCCCTGTAATCAATAAAGCCTCTTTCCTTCCAATGGATTTGTCTCTTGGAATTGTCTTTGGTACTGAAGACAATCTGAGCAGCAGGCAAAGTATTCCCTGCAGTTTCTGGCATTCACAAGATCCCAAGGCATTATAGGAAGCTAACAACACAACCCTGTACCTCTGGAATTACATGTCAAGTCTGCAGAGTACAGACACTGATGCAAATGGGGTGGAACTGTGTGCACAGTGGTTAACCCCAAGACATCTGGTCTCAACTTTTAAATCACATCTAAGTTCATTCTTTAAAATAGGTCACCAGAAGAATTTGGATAGTATATAAAAAGGAAACACTATTGATTGGTTGATCTTTAAAAAACAGCATGTTCAATGGTTTTGATTCCAGCATGGTACAATTCACACCAAAGCTTCTTGGACAGTGCTTTTTATTCATATACCTTACTTCATTTTTACAAACTTTATTTTACTGTACTCCATTTGTTAGTGACATTTTGAGTATTGACTGTACTAAACTTTGTTAGTTTCCTTTACTATTTAACTTATCCAACACGCTTGTGAATATACACCATATATATATATACACATCTATATTTACACAGCTAGAGTGTGGACAATACATATATAAATATAGATACATAAAAGCAACAAGTCAGTATACAGCATTTGTTTGGCATCATCAACGTTGTTTAAACAAGTAGAAAAAAATGGTCTATGTGAAGAATTTCTCATTTCCTTAGCTCACTGAGCATTACTTCACATCCTTCCTGACACCACATTGTGGTTACATACGAGTACTTTTGTCTTAAAGACATACATTTATCTCTCTTACTTTTTGCAAACGGAGAGCTTGACAGAGATAAGTGCAAAGAGAAATTTTGAAAATCCAAACTACAGGTACAAGTTTGGTGTTTCCTGGCTGATCCTGGAGAACCAAAGGTGCCTGGATGGTTGCTGTACCCACTGCAGGCAGGCACAGAGAGATGTCACTTGTGTCACTGGCCTGAAGGCACAAACACGCTGCCATGGGAGGATTCATTTTTAAAGGCTTAAGTTCAGCACACGTGTAACACCCGCGAGTGAGAATCAGTTCAGCAGCACTGCAGGTAAACACACAACCCGCTGACTTTTTACATCAATTTCTTGCAAGACTCTAAGTAACGCCGATTTGCAGCGAGCACACGGCAGAGGGAAGTGGCTCTAGCTGACCCTGCACTGCAGCACGGCCCGGCCCGGTTCGGCACGGCACGGCCTGGCCC